TAGGTCAATGATAATTGGAAACTATTTAATAATTAGTTAATAATAATCAGAGATTCTCTTATTAACAAAATGTTAATTACGAGGAAAGAAAATAAAAAACTGGATTGTGAATTTGTTGATGTTTCACAGCGGAGATCTCGCTACTTAGACGGTGTTACCGGTTCGAAGGTCGGAACTCAACTGCGATCTTCACCAATTACTATTTTGCTGGCAGTGTGGTTTACATGGACCCAGACATATTCAGTCACAATCAAACATTTTAAACCGTCCCTAAGCATCCCTAAATATTTTGTTTTCTACATATGTTTATCAGTCATAATTGACCATATTAATTATTTAATGTTGTAATTAATTATTGTTTTTATCTAAGGTCTTGGTTGAGATGGTGGTTCGAAAAATGATTCGCTTGTGACACAAACTTTTTCATCAACATTAGAAAAAAAGAACAATTTAATTTTGTTTTCATTTTGAAAGCAAGATAAACTATCTATTGCTAAGATGCAAATGTAGCTTTAATTTATTTTCTTTATATTTCAATGCATTATACAAAAGCATATTTTTCCCAAATCAATGTTAAGTAAAGGTATCAAAAGTAAAAGTAACAAGTAAATAATTGAAATTTTTTTTACTGAATGTTTCGAATTGGCGGAGCAACAAATTAAAATATATAAAAAAGTTGTAATGCTTATCCAGACCGCATCTCACGATTTCTGAATAATTATTGCTTATCCTTTCATTATTTACTTCTCGGATTTAAGTAATGCGATAGACTTGTTAGTCTTTAACGAAAAATTTGGTTACCATATGTATTAATAGTATTATATTTAAAATATAAATGTATCTAAAATGTATATAAAAACTAAGTTTGTTCTAGTTTGCCCGTGCAGATTTCCTTCTAATATACAGCGTGTTTTTGTCTTTGTTAATTAAAGAAAGAAAAGACCTATTTCCAAACTTTTATATTGCAATTTTTTTTACCCTCTCACTTACTTATTCACACATACACACAACTACTCATACAAACTGTACTTCCACACCCCCGTTCCATTAAAAACCAACAACCCACTCTAATGCTCAAGGGCTGTCTTTAAATCGTGGCCATGCCTACACTATCCCTATAAGTGACCAGGGCCTGGCAAGCCTTGACCAAGTTGACATACTGCGTATTACATTGTATTAAGTATTATATTATTTGGTTTTAAAGAATCGTGCTGTTTTTAACACGAAATTCGGTTCTTATATGTATTAGCTGAGTAATATGTATATATTATATGTAGCATATAAAACCAATTTTGCCTAATCTAGATGGCCGTGGTTTCCTACTAATTCACAGCACTTTTGGCTGTTTCCTATGTAGATTTTATCTTAATTAAAAGTAAAGAAAAGTCAATTTCCAAACTTTTATCTTGCAAGTTTCATTATGAAAGCATTTACAAACGCAAAGAAATTATATTATGTTTCAATTCTGACAATTTTTTTTTTTTTTAATAGTCAAGTTTCTCTAATTGGTGGAGCAATGAATTTAAAAATACACAGGGCATTATAAATGTTCAGTACTTTTCTTTTCGGTTTTAAAGAACATAGCTGTCTTGTTAGTTTTTGAATGAAAAATTTGGTTATTGTACATAAGTATTAATTATAATATGCTTATATTATATATAGCTGGAATATTTAAAGCAAATTTTGTCTAATCTAGTTGGCCTTGGCGGTTTCCTACCAATACCCAGCGTGCTTTTGGCTGCTTCCTATGTAGATTTGTCTTAATTAAAAGTAAAGGACAATCCAATTTCCAAATTTTATCTTGCAAGATTCATTCTGAAAGCATTTACAATTGCAGTGCTTTTATATTATGTTTCAATTTCATTTCAACAATTTTTTTTAATAGTGAAGTTTCTAATTGGCAAAATAAAATTTAAAAATAAACGGTATTAAAAATGTTCAGCATTTTTCCCTTCACTTTTAAAGAATATAGCTGTCTTTTTAGTTTTTCAATGAAAAATTTGGTTATTATACTATGTTTATATTATATGTAGCATTTGAAGCTAATTTTGTCTAATTTAGTTGGCGGTGGAGGTTTCCTACTAATTCATAAGTGCTTTTGACTTCTTCCTGTGTAGATTTTGTTGTAATTAAAAGTAAAGAAAACCCATTTCCAAACTTTTACCTTCATTTCATTATGAAAGCATTTACAACTGCAACGCTATTTATAATATGTTTCAGTTGTATGACAATTTTTTTTGGAATAGTTAAGTTTCTAATTGGCGGTGCAATAAATTTAAAAATACACAGGGCATTAAAAAGTGTTCAGCGTTTTACTGTTCAGTGTTTTATTGTTCAGTTTTGTCTGCTTAGTATTTAACAAATAAACTGGTTCTTATATGTATTAATTGTAATATTTTTGTATAATAGAAGATTTAAAGCCAATTTTGTCTGTTCTAGTTGGCCGTGGAAGTTTCCTACTAATTTATAGCGCGCTTTTGGCTGCTTCCTGTGTAGACGTATAAAAAAAAGAAAAGACAAAAAAAGGAAAGGAAAACCCCGAGAAAAGGAAGAGTTCTTCTTCTTCTAATCTACGATTCCAATATATCTCTCGGGCAGGGCGTTGCATTATTCAGCATTAATAATGTATCGTCCTGCCGTCTTATGAATAAAAACATCCAACGTCTGAATCCGAGGCTGGTCATTAAGCTTTTACTTTATTAAATTCGGTTTGTACGCGTAAATAAACTCGCGGGACTGGACACACGAAACAACAAAACGTTGGCACGGATTTCGAACTTATGTAATTGCACTCACCTCTTATATTAAATGGTATGAAAGTTCAACTTGGATGAGGGCGTGTTGTGAGCGGTTTGCTCATCCGAGAGCGGTCCGAAAATCAAACTTGCTTCACTGTTCGAAATAAGCACGGCGAAAATCTTCATGCGTCGTCTGCGAAGTTTCGACGTGCGTTGAAGCACGAGACGGGACTAGAAACAAAATTTCTCCTCCCGAGACCCCCTCCCAGACGAGACACGTTAGACAGGGGTACCAACAGCTCACGACAAAATTTCCCAACAATTATCCTTAATATATATTTTTTCTAATTTTCATTTCTTTTAAACCTCAGTCCTAATGCATATTAGCCCAATTAAATATTTTTATTGTCTACTAACTATTCAAAACAGTTGTATGCTTAATAAAAGAACATGAGCTTAGTAGCCTGACACCATTTCTCGTTTTTCCCAATATTTCTTCAGCAAAAATATTTTTTCCCCTTAAACGAAATGGCTCTATTAAAGTTCACAAAAGTTTAAACATTTTTTTAAATTTAATGTGAATACAACTATGATGAAGATTCTGTGGCTCTTTGCCTCAGTCATTAACTTAGCCTAAGTCTGTTTTGAATCTTGAAGAATACATGCATTTGTTATTGTTTTTGGATGTTAAACATAGTATGCATTATATGTTTCATATGTTGTGTCTCATCTGTTCTGTATTGAGATATTCCCATTAAAGATGTAAAATGAATAAATGAAAGATGTAACACCTTTCCATGGTGCAACTTCAGCATCCAACTTAGTGAAATAATTCTTCAGCAAGGATTTTTTTAAATTTTAACTTTGAATAAACAAAATGTATCTATTATACTTCATGCATTTTAAAACATTTAATTTTTAATTGAACATGAGTACAGGCTAAGATGAATAGTCTGTGACTCTGCCTCAGTGTCATCAATGTAGCTTAAGTTTTGATTGTTGGCATGTCGGAGGATCCAGCAACATTGTCTGATAAATATTTGTTTATTTACAACTTTTGAAGGTCTTTCCTTCCTTCTTCCTTAGATCTAAACATTTTAAAACTTTCGTTTTTCATTCATCTGTCTTTGATGTTATCTCTTCTTCTTTTTTCTCTTCCTCATTAGTATTTTTTGTTTCTAATAAGCTTTTTATTTTATATTTGTTTAAACATGTTTCTTATCGTGCAATGAGAGATCCAAGAAAAAACCCTTGACTGAGATTTTCTCATTAAAGCAATACAATAAATAAATAATGAAAACTGCTCCTGGTCATATTGCAGCTTCAGCAACATTCATAGTCAGATTATCGGCGAAAAAAAGACCATGGCTCAATATCAGTTCAAACAGATCAAACTTTATGCTTCATAGCATCAGATGAAGTTGGCTCCTAAAATCCACTTCTAACCCACCATCAACTATAAACTGTTAAAATAAAAATAAATTTTTTTTTTCCAATATAAACTAAATGACAAATTTGTTGTATTTAATTTAAGTTTGTAAAGCCCTGATGATGGTAATATAATCTGCTATACATTGATGAGGTGAAATACTACATCATTTGACTTTTTTAAACCTAATCTTTGTCATAGATTTGTCGAACTCAACACTGAAAATGGTGAAATGCTGAAAAACCAAACCAGCGAGGGTATTCAGAAGGGTTCAAAACTTGCAGTCCTCAAGCAAATATCCCACAACTCTAGATATACAAATGAAGACAATACTGCATCTTAAATTTCATAATTAAACAACTTTAATGATAAAATTTAAATATTTAATGGCAGTTGGACTGGATGCAATTAAGTGTTCAGCACAAGAATCGAGAGCCAGAACATGAAAAATGTTACTTATATGTGATTTTTTGTATGTATGCCTGTATTGTGGAAAAACATAACACATAAACATGAATAACAGACCATCTGATCTAATATGACGCGATATTGTTCAGATTTTTCTATAACAATTCATCATATTTTCCCAAATAAATGTCAATTATTCATTTTGATACATTTTTCACAACAATAAAACAGGTGAGTGTTAAAAAGAAATTATTTAGCTTTTAAGTAATTTTGCCTCTTTAACTTAAAAGATGAATTTATTAGACTAGTCAAGACAGATACAAATCAAAATTTGAATGAAATGCTGCACCTTAGATAGCGAAATTGCAATATTTCTATTTAAAAAATTATAAAAATGGATGCTCTTGTTAAAAAAAATCCAAAAATGTATCTCGTATGTTATTACATATTATATTTACAATATTCAGTCTTAAAAGTGACGTTTTAAGGCAACTAATTAATTACTTATCCTTTCAAAAATTAATATTTCATTAGTAACATAAAAAAATATTAACTTTTTATTTATAATTTAAAAAAATCTATATAGAACATCATAGTATTGAGTATATTTATACATTTTAATTAATTTAATTGTTTTATTTATTTTTTAATAGATGTAAAAATAGACTACACTTGTTCGTATTTGGTTGTAAAAAAAGTTAATTTAAATGTATCTATAAAAAATACTAATTAAATTGAACTTATTGGCATTGATTAAAAAGAAATCAATAAAAAACAATAAAAATCATAAACATAAAAACTGACTAGAGTTGAAAATGTAAGGCTTAATTAAAATGTGTAATACTGTTTGGCAAGTACACTAGTTACAGCTGTTTGATTTGCAGGACTGGTGCTTCTTCTTTTTTTGATTCTTTTTCTTCTGCAGAGCTGGAAAGGAAATTGTATTTTTTTATATTTTAATTATTTTTACAATTTAATGACTCACTTATAGTCGCTATGGGCATCTTTTTAACATTTTGTATCTCGTTCAGTATGTACGCTTGGAAAGACAAGCTCGCAATCCTTTGAAACAGCCTTGTAATATTGGCACCCGTTTTGGATGAAACAGGCCAGAATTCGCTGACAAGGTGGGTAGACATCTGCGTAGCGTATGTTTCTAATTTGTCAAATGCCAACGGACCCTGAAATTACTGTGATTATTAAATATAGATGTGAGTGAGCTTAATTACAGAACTATTACTTACAATAGCGTCTATTTTATTTCCTAGGACTATTATATATGGAAGGCGATCGTTGTTATATTCCTTCATCGCAGACTTATACCAATTGACACAGTTGGCTAAGGTTGTCATTTTTGTAACATCAAATACAATAACGATCACTTAAAAAACAAACGAAAATTAACAGAAGAATTATTATTAAATTGGAATATTTTATCATTACCTTTATAAACTTTTATTTAGCAATAAAAACAGTTTATTCTAAACATTTTAACTCTTTTGTTGTAGTAGAAATTATTTTTGTGCAGGTATGCTTTGTCAATATTGTGCTATAATTTGCTATTTCTTTGTATTGAAATATATATTTTGTTAAGAAATTTAAAAAAACGTAAAGCATACCATGAGCCGAACGATAGTAGGAGGGTGCGAGGCATTTGAACTTTTCTTGTCCCGCTGTGTCCCAACTGTGACAAAATAAATGTCAAAAGTCAAAATAAAATTTTGCAGGGTACATACTCACATTTGTAGGTTAAAAGGAATTCCAAGGATTTCAAATTTTGCGACTTCAAAGTCAACACCTATAGTCGGTTTGTACTCTGTGAGGTAAATGCTCTGAATGAACCTTTAAAAAAACGGTTAAATTTAGGTTTGATACATACTAAGCATAAGCTAAACAAATAATCATTCAAGAATTTAAATAAATAAATTCAAACATAATGTATGACCTTAATGAACACCTTTTTTTTGCTTTCTTCTTTTCTTTCTGATTACAGTTCATTACAATAGGATCAAAGGTAAATACGAAAAATTCAGTTTTTTGAATGTCAAATGTTTGCTATTGGAAAAAATTGTAAACAATATAATGCGAAAATATATTTTCAAGAATCATTTTGTATTTTGGTTAGTAAAAACTAATCAAGCAAATTGTAGGAATACAAAATTTCTTCTTAAGGTTTGATCTCCTACCCTTTCCAACCTTAGTAGTGGGTTTGACAAACCCACAAAAAAAGACAGACCAGAATGGTTGGAGATGACCAAACAACATACCTTCATTGTACATACATATTTCCAGTTCTAATCAAACAGGTACCTTGGAATAACTGTAATTCTATGATAGTATAACAGCCATAACAGGACCATTATCGGAGATCCTAGCAAGCCCAGATTATTCACCATATTCAATAACATTACACATGACACCAGGGAATGTGTCATCCAATGAAACTACCAGGTAACCAGAAAATAATTTGTTGGAATTGTGAGCAGCAGTCAATAATGAGGTAGTTTAGTTAGTACACAACAATTTCACACAAAACCAATATGACACCAAAAGAATAGCACCACACTTTATGCCCTAAAGATGACTCAAATAAAAGTTGAAACATCGACAAAAAATAAAAAATTACACCGTGTATTATTGTTATGGGAGCAGGTGGAAATAAACTCCCCAGGGGCACGGTTTACTGCATCTGGGAAAAATAAAAACTTGGACACTTGAACATTGGGGGTTGTTCTCAGATGAGTGTTGGTTTGGTTTGTGGCAACAGATGACTGGAAATGTGCGTAGAGAATGCTTTGCTTCATGTGCCAGGTACGACAGCATTTTCAAAAATAGCCAGTTATGGTAGAGGGTAGAATATACGTCCATATCTGTATTGACTAACTATCATAGAGAATGGATCTTCGACTGCAATAAAGTACAAGTAATTCTTCAGAAAACTGTGGTCCCATTCGCTCCATTTATTGAGAACAACTTTGTGTTCTCCTGACATGTATCATGGGACGTGATAAAAAGATGGGTTAGACATTGTTCACTGCAAACAAGCATTTAACATCTTCAAACCGCTATCGCTTATTTAAGGCCATAAAATATTTGGTTTAAAAAGATCACGACTCGAATCCTTACATCAATAATGAAAAATAAAGTGTCAAAGGTGTATCCAAGTCCATTGTTTTTGGGAAAATATGTAAGAAAGGACTCTTTTTGTTAAATAATAATGGTAATTTTCTGAAAAAAAGCAAACAATAATTATCTGGGAAAGAACAACGAGATTCATTGTTCCTATACTTCCTTCAATTACAAAAATTGGCGGTATTAGCAACATCTCAAAACCCCCTTATCAATTCGCGTCTCGGCAAATTACAGCTCCTTATTTTATTTTTTTCGAAACATCAAAGATAATCCTAAAGTTTTAAATGTATTAACATTCGAAAATACTAGTTATGATGAACGGCCTCGAAACATGTTTAACTGCGAACAGACAAGAGCTTTGTATTTAGAAAATCGAAACGGTGACCTTTTGCTCTAAAAGCGTGGATCCGGGAGATGTGTATATTTAGGCAGCCTCGAGAACGCAGTTGATAAATTCCATTAGCTTAAATGAAGTTCCTCGTAAAAAAAATTGATCAACTTCATAAAGGGGTCAAAGCCTTATATCCTGCCGTGCCCTTTCGAATTTTCCCCCATTTCCTCAATGGGCCACGTGCTGTCTAAAATAAACTAAAACCTAACAAACATAAAACATGGAACCTTTTCTTCAATTACAATAACTTGAAATTGATTATTGAACGATGATAGTCGATTAAACTGCTATATTTTCTTAACATCTTAAACTCGTTTCAAAAGTAAAGCATTCAACTTTTGACCAAAAAACATAGACTCAAAAATTCCGACTGCTATCATCTACCTTGAATTCTCCAGGCGTTTGATCGTGTGTCTCACACTCTTAATTTATAAACTGGAGGGGCTTGTGAATGGTAATTTCTTAAATCACATCTCTGTGACAGGAAGTTGATCAAGCGTATTCTAATTCCTTTCTAGTGGTTAGCGGACTTCCGCAAGGATCGGTCATGGGTCCAATTCTATTCATCCTTTATACAGTTATATAAATGACATAATTCACTGTGAAATCAGTACTTTTGATAATATGATCTGACTGATCGCTACTTTGAGGTCTCAATCTTAACACTGACAAGTGCTTTGTTCTCTATCTGGACGCAAAAAACCATTGTTTAATCTACAAACTTGATAGCAGTTCTTTGGCCTTTACATAATTTCCAAAAGAATATCAATACCACAAGAGTTAAAGTGGCATAAACATGACCTGGACATGGTCAAAACAAAGAAGCTTTCTTTACCAACATTTTCGTCACCTTCTCCCGAAATACTAAATTTATTTAAATTGTGTTACTTATGTTCGTCCCTTACGTAGTATTTGGAGCCCATACTTTCAAAAAGGCATTAAACTTGTATAAAAAGTTCCAAGACGTTTTACCAAAACTCCCAAAAAATTAAAGCCATACAGCTACGTTCAACCAACCGAGCAAAGCTTTCCGTGAATGTCTTTAGTTAACTTCAGTTTATTTTTCTTTCGTTGGAGCATTAAAAGGTGGTACTTTTTTCTTTTTTCAAAAAACGATTTTTAAACTGTGGAATATGTAGTCTAAAAGAAACTGCAGATTGATTATCTTGGCCTGACTTGTAAGATGTTTTCTCAAGAATAGGAAGGTACAAGGCCAACATAAAACACACAACTACTGAAAATGGCGAAACTTAAACGTGTCTGGCCAACTAGACTAACATGGTTTGCCACGTTGCAGCTACACAATATAAATAATTAATGCACAATTTAAACGCAATTATTACATAACAGTTTTATTGCTTTACAGCCCTGTTTTATCGCACTGGGATTTCATTTTACTCCGAGATAACGTAAAATGATATGAAAAATGTTTATCAGATAAAATTTATAAATTGAGTGTGACGTCCAAAAACGCACAAGGACATTAAAAAATAGAGAAGGCAATCCAAAATTTTAGTGTAGAGCGTAAAGGATTTTTAACTCTTTGGGATCAACCAGAAATATCAAAACAAACTTAGCATAGGTTTAAAAAAATATGCATATTCCAACGAAAAATGTGTTCGTTAAATTTTAGAAAATAGGTTATTTTTTGTGAAAAATTTTCTTACTCAATAATTTAAAGTGATATTCAATGTAAACTAAAGAATATTGCAACTAAGGTTGTTCTCGACAGTCCTTTTTTATATTTGTTTTCTGTTCTCAAATTGACAAGTTTATGATGACTGTTTCTATGCACATAAAGTACGTGTAGTTTCCGATGGGTGAAACACAAAAAATTAGTGTTAATCAAGAAGGAACTTTTTTTAAATTTTCTTCCCACGTGTGCCTGTATAAATTAGAAACGTAATTAGAGTAGTTTTACAATCTTTTTCACTCCAGAGTCGAATAAATAATTTTTTTTATGTTTTACAAGCATGTGATGGCGAAATCCACAGACTTAAGCATGTGAAAGAAACGACTAATAGATAGTCGACCCACCGGACTGTTTTGTATTTTTTATGGTATTTTAAACAGTTCTGTACCCTAAAAATCGACGTTATTGAGATTTTATAGACGTTTGTAAAAAAATAAATAGACTGTGCTATAGACAAAGGTTTGTACATTTGCATGAGTTGAAATGCATTGCGTACAGTAAAATAAATAATAATTTGGCCCTTGTGTTAACATTTTATAACCGTCAGGCCACACATGTTTAATAATTATATTTAAAATAAATAAAGTAAAAATATGGATTTTTGTTTTGCCAGAGGTTGCTGATGGAACATCAGCAGAGATACCTTTGGATGATGGACGTCTTGCCCACGCCCACATCGCCGATGAAGACCACTTTGCCGCATTTGAGCTCCTCCAGGTGCAGAGTGTTGCAGTAGTTGACGACTTCTTTGTCGAACTCGGTCTCATAGGGGCTTTCGAATATGTTGAAAGGCTGTCCGAAAATCGAGATCTTCTTGGCCGTCGGTTCAACCGACGTCGACATCCCTGCTCAGATTGTCATCCTTCTCCGCCCTCTAACTAAACCCAAGCTGGTGAAAAACGTGAATAGCTATGTAAACTGGATGTTGCTATGACGACCGTCGAGACTAGGAATAAATGTGAGTCACGTCTGCCGACCACCTCCACCGGTTGTGGGTGAAACGGCGCAACTCCAATGCCAATTCACGGTCGAATTGGTGAAATTGTGAAAACAGAGGGTCTTGACTTTGTATCCTTGAGAACGATGCTAATTAAAGACCCTCCTCTTTGGAAATGTTCATTGTTTAGAGGAAGACGTACGAAAGGTCAAGTTCGCAACGATTCTTGTAGAGTGGACATGAGTCCAAGGTCATACAACACTCTCAAGCTACCCTAAAAACAGTTTTAAACCCTCGAAAATTTGTTTGTTTAGATAATTATAATATTTACATAGTCGTTAATAACATGCCAGTAGCAATTGCATCGTTCAGCTTTCTTTAATTATTATTTTTTCCTTCAAGTTGTAATAGAAACCCCATAAAAAGCTAAGAGTTAGAGGTTAAGGTTGAGGTTAAACTCGTTACTCCTTTTATAAACTCCGACCAATATTGGCCTATTGTGCTATCTCCATTATCATCTATAACTCTTCGTTGTTATCTTGTTAAAGATTCCCATGTGTATCCTTCAAGCCTGGACTTGTTCTCTACCTGGAGTACAAATCTCAGCCTACATGCACCAATAAAGGACTTTTTTTGCTGTTTTAGTCTATGTCTCCTTATTTAGTGTTTTTGGCCACCATGCTCCTTAAGTGACCAAGGGTCTAACCGCTGCAGTGTATAACCAATACGCCATTTCGTTCTGCTTTCTTTAATTATTTTTCTTTCCTTCAAGTTGTATCAGAAACTCGTTAAGAAGCTAAGAGTTAGAGGTTAAGGTTGAAGTTAAAGGTTTTTTTACTCCTTTTATAAAATGCGACCAATATTGCCCTATTGTGCTATCTCCATTATCATCTATAACTCTTCGTTGTTATCTTGTTAAAGATTCCCGTGTGTATCCTTCAAGCCTGGACTTGTCCTCTACCTGGAGTACAAATCTCAGCCTACACGCACCAGTAAAGGACTTTTTTTGCTGTTTAAGTCTATGTCTCCTTATTTAGTGTTTTTGACCACCATGCTCCTTAAGTGACCAAGGGTCTAACCGCTGCAGTGTATAACCAGTAAGCCATTTGGTTCTGCTTTCTTTAATTATTATTCTTTCCTTCAAGTTGTATCAGACACTCCTTAAGAAGCTAAAAGTTAGAGGTTAAGGTTGAAGTTAAACCTTTATTACTCGCTTTTTTGTGTGCAAAAAACAGGTTTTATAGAAAAAGGCAATAATAAATTAAAGAACATTCGCCAAAATTACAACTAAAAATCAGACCTGACAAAATATAAAAAAATAAATAAATAAAATTTAGAATCAATGACTTGCGTTTTTGGGGTACACCTCGGTGGCCGGCGAAATGCACAGTTCAGGCAGTAGTTCGACCAAAAAAATCCAAATTGTGCCAACAGGCCGGCGTAACACTTGACAAATTATTGACCATCTATTTTCATAACACCTTGGTCCGTTTATTCTCGCTTTTTAACCGAGGAATCTCTACAATGAGATAGGACCGTTAAACATAAATTTTGTATCATCGGAATATCATCAAGGCGTCACCAATGCGTACCTGAAATTAAGTGAAAACACAGAACGATTTTTGTATATGTGTGTTATTTTGTTCGGGGATAAGTTTTAACAAACTATCATAAAACATACTTTGAATATTAAAAAAAGGTAATTTGAGAATTAATTTTACTAAGATTTACGAAAGTAATTCGTGATAAGTAATGCCCTTTCCCTCCATTCATTGCAGAAGGTTATAAAATCGGTTACCATTTCTACTTAGTCGTTTTCCCTCCGATGCCTTGAAATAGATTTTAAGTTCAATATGAATACATTTTAAGTTCCGCCCGGTGAAAGATCGCCCTTTGATTTTACCAGTCTTGTTCGGGAAATCATCATGGGCGTGGAAGAGCTGATGAACACAAAGCCGATCCTCGGGTTGAACAAGACGTTCGAGACGGCGATGAAGAAGCGCAACGCTCACCCGAGGCTCCTGAAAGAGCTCGCCTCCGATTACAACAAGGTGACAGTAATAAAACAATCCACGATAAGTTTATTAATTTTAAAATTCATGTCTTTAACGGGCCACTTTCCTCCAATCATGCACTGAGAGGCAAAAAAAAATTAACCACCCTTAATATTTTTATTTATCAGTTAGACAATCCTCCATTGATTATATTTGGTCCGTTTTAAAGGATTAGAGGTAAATAATCTCCCACTTATGTTTGATCGGTTGGTCACAATTGGTTTTTATAAATAAATCTTTGAATAGTCAATCTCTTCTTTGTAGGTTTTTCTGAACAGCTTCTTTCTAATGTTCCAGTGGTTAGATTTTTTTTTTAATAAGTACCATTTTTGAGTTGCCAATTTGTTTGAGTGATAGATTTGGCTAGAATCATAGCATTGCTGGAAGATGGAAGAAGTTAAGCGTGGCCAGGGTGCTTAACATCCCCAGAACAACAGTCCGGTGGTCCTTCCATCGCTACCAAGATACTGGAGGTTACTCAAGAAGGCATGGATCAGGTCGCTATCGTTTCACATCTCAGAGTGATAATCGTCTTATTTTGAATGTACTTCGTAATCAGCATCATACCGCTGTTGAGATCAAGCAACGACTTCAACAAGTTAGAAATGTTAATGTCAGTTTACAGACTGTAAAAATGGCTGCATACAAGCGGTATTCTCAGATGCTGACTAGTATGGATGGGTGCTCGGTTGTTCATGGAGCAACAATATTCGGTGCTCACCTTGCTCGGCTAATTGTCGGTTTCCTTGTCTGCTTCAAAGTCCATAAATATTCGTGAAGTAGCCAAACTTAAAGCATCCACACATTCGGGAATTAGTTGTACTGTACGAATATCAACTGCAATCAACAATCAACACTGCTATTTATTTTTCAATAATAAATGATTCCTGACTAGTATAGATGTATTAATGTAAGAACATCATAGCACTGTCTGGTTAGGAATGGATTGGCTCAATATAAGTCTCGGCGTTCCTCGATCTGTACCAAGTTGAACTAATAATTTGTAAAGTTTCCTTTTGAATCACAAAAAAACGGAACAAGGTTTTCGATGTGTAGAAATGGTTAAAATGTGAGATGGGGCAACAGTACTGTGTGACTGATTTGTGACTGAATTTGTACCCACTACACAAAACAGTAACCGCAGCTGCAGCAATGACAGTTTCACTGTTGTCCATCATGATTGGTAGAATGTTGACTCGCACAGCACTTGGCGAATGTTCACTGTTTTTGCACAAAATGGCTGGTTGTATGAACCCTACATCACATATGTGTCTATACTTAGCATACTATTTGGCGAATGCCAAGACGAGCATGCCAAGACTTCGCAAATATTCGGCAGTAATCAGCATTCAGTGAATACCTCATGTTTGGAGCTTTAACAAAACAACCTTAAGACTAGCAAAAAGTACAGTCAAACTTAGGCATTAGATTTTGTCCGCTTATTAGAAATGCCCAATATGCTTTATTTATTTATTTATTTTTTTTTTTCAATAATAAATGATTCCTAACTAGTATAGATGTATTAATGAAAGAACAACATAGCGTTGTCTGTTGGAGGAATGGATTGGCCCACCATAGCAGTCGTGGAGTTCCTCGATCTGTACCAAGCTGAACCAATAATGTGGAACGCTTCTCTTCCGAATCACAATAAACAGAAAGAAGTTTTTCACACTGCAGCTCAGTGACTTCAAACTATGTAAAAGCAAACAATAACACTATAAGTACGCTTCTCTTCTGAATCGCAAAAATGGAATGAGATTTTTGCTGTGTGGAAATAGTTCGAAAGTAAGATAGGGCAACTGATTTGGGAATGAGATTGTAGCCACTACACAAAACAGTACCGCAGCTGCAACAATGACGGTATCATTGTTACCATCACGATTGGTAGTAAGTTGAGTACTCGCACAGCACTATTGCATATGGCAATATTCGCTGCTTTCACACAAACTGGGTGGTTTTACAAATCCCGCATGTGGGTACATTGGCAAATGTCAAGATGAGCATCTCGAAACTTGGCAAACGTTTGGTGATAGTCGGCATTCAGTGAATACTGTATGTCCTGGAGCCACCTTAAGACAAAGACTTGCAGAAGTTGGATCATGTGTGAGAAGGCCTGCCATTGATCCAGAACTTCTGAAAAGGACAGTTTGGTTAAGTTTTGCAAGAAATACATCGGTTGGTCTGAGCAAGACGACTAAAATCTTTTTTTCGGATGAGTCATGGTTTTGTTTGAGGTCTTCTGATGGCTGAGAGAGGGTTTGGAGAAATATATCACCATAATAGTTTCACTCCATAGAATCTATAGAGGAGATCTTGTCATGCTTTGGACAGGCATTTCTACAGAAGGTCGTACAAACTTGATCTTCATCGAGGGTTCCCTAACAGCTGTACGATACATTGAAGATGTGTTATCAGAAGTTGTTCCTTATATGCCAATAATTGGCGACAAATTATTTTTATGCATGACAATGCAAGGCTCACAGGTAGAATCGTTGGTGACTACTTGGAACGGGCTTCAATTGAATGTTTGGTGTGTCCAGCAGGCAGTCCGTACTTAACCATATCAAACCTATGGGAGGAGTTGTCAAAGAGATTAAAAAATTGCCCAGTGATGATAGAGAATGGTGTTGGAGGAGTATGAAAATATTTCTACATTCAAAACCTCCTAAAATCAATGCCACGACGAATGCAAGTGGTGATCAACGCAACTGGAGGAAATACATACTTCATACTGAATTGAATATTTTCTTCGTTATTTCATAGCAACATTTTTGGTAAAATTGTTCTACTCAGTTTAATTTTTTATTTAGCTATTTTATATTTTTCTTTTAAATATACAGTAAATAATAAAAAATAAAAATTATAACAATACCAAGTATTTACTAAAACAAAACAATGCTGGCCACTTTTTTTTGCCTCTCAGTGTGTACAAGCAGCACCCTTGACAGTTGTATAATGTTTTTATAATGTAAACATCATGTAAAACCCTTGACAGTATGTTGACAAAATTATTTATGAACAGTTGGCTGGTATGAGGAATAGTGCCTGTTCATTAAATGATGACGTAGTAACAGTCGAAAAATACCGACATCATTCCCCAGTCATGCACACAAAAGTTTTCTTGTTCGCCATACTATTTCTAGTAATATTGGGTGTCGATTAATATCTGAAAAGGATGTTGGTTATTTTCATTGAATAATGTGTTTTTTAAGACAAATGATAACAACAAATAGGCCCATCGAGGGAATGAACACCATCTCCAATTTCTGCGATATTGCCAGTCTAAATTGTGTCTTTCAGTATGTCAAATTTATCTGAAGAAGTAGCAATTAAAAAAAAAAAAAAAATCAACGGAATACTTTTTAACTCTGCATTAGTCTTTTTGACTCTATGACACAAATGTAGTTGTTTGTTGTCTCTGAGATGCCTTTTCAAATTCATGCAATAATTACTGATTACTTACCCCCTGAACATTACTGAAATAGACCCAATCGCTGTAAGAAGCCTGTTACCAAACTTTATTTTGCAGTTTTTTCCACTGTGGAGGAGTTTTCCATGTAAAATTTTCGTCTTGATTTTCTTCCTAATTTCACTAGCAATTGCCTTTTGGTTTTTCCACTTCATTCCATTTCATAACCTATTTTTCTTCAATTAATTTTTTATTACAAACGGATCCTTCTTCATCAACTTAATACCAAAAAAAAGATGTGTGTTTGTTTTCACTTCAAAGTGCAGTTCTTCAATTTGTTTTTGATATCCTTCTCTTCTTCTATTGTAAGGGTAATGATCATATTAAAATTAATAATAGAAAAATTAATGAATAATTACAAAAGTTGTGTGGAATCTCAAGAATAACCATTAAATAATTAATATTATTGTTATTAATTATTCTTGCCACCAAGTACAATAAAACACTACTACACATAAGTCAGAGATGGACCCACATAGCCTACTGAGTTCAATTTTTTCTGGTTTTAAAACGCTTTAAATAATTTATGAGAAACATTTTTAAAAACAGCTACAATATATTTTACAGAATCAAGAGGCATTTGAAGTGGAGTTCAAACAATGTCTGGCTGTGCTGTTCATGTGCCCAGACAAGACGCCAGGGCTCGAATCAGTGCTTGACTTTGCGGCCAAGTATTGCATTTTCCACGAAAACACTTTTGGCGAGGAAGATCCGTTTCCTGAGTCAATTTTCAATTTTATTTTCGAAGTATGTCATAGGCTGAAATTATTAATAGGCTCAGAATATTTCCTTCTAACGTTTAATTTTACAGAACCACAACATAAAAAACCCCAACATCCGATTCAGGACTTGCGAGTTTATAAACAGGCTCCTGAATGAAAAGGGCGACCAGGCTTCACTCGATCAGAACATATTTGAAAATATCGGAAATATCATGCTGGAGCGTCTACAGGTAAGTCTTTTAAATTTACTGCATTTCCCTAAACTTGACACAATTGAATGAAAATTTGTAACACAACGTGACTAATCAAATTAAAAGCCGATTTCCCTAAACAGATAATATTATTAAGCCCTATTCTACATGAGCGCTCAAAACACAGCATTTGGAACGACTCCTGTCACTTTTTTTTTTCACACCTCTTTTAAAGGTTTCTATACAGAGCATTTGAAATGCATGCTAGGAAATACGAGACTACTCTACACATGTGTAAGAACAGCACGTTCCAGTGTAGTTAGTTTCAAAATGAACCCTCTTCATGTAGGATATGTTACGGGAATTTTATTGTTGAATCAACTTGGGAGAAAGAAATTTTTACCTTTACTACTCTATTCAAATTTTCCTACAAACTAATTGCATAAATAGGTGGAGGCAACTGGACCTCTCAAATAAATTTTTCGGTGTCAAACATCACCAAATATATAAACATACGCATAAACAAAATGTCCTCAATAACAGTCAACTTTTTCCCCACATTCCTTAACGCACCAATCATATTCCAGGCCCAATACTTTTCCAAAAAAATTTTTTAATTTTACGTGGGTTTGCAACAGCAGAGGTCATATAAACCCTCGGGGTGCCGGTGTTTTTGAAAAAAAAAAAAAACACTTGTAAGTATGTCGAGTTCAAATGCAGGGGCCGCTGGATTCGAACCCGGGACCTTTACCTTACAGTGTTAAGTTAATTGAGTGCTCGGTCACGCCACTCTACAGTCACACTTTGTGCCTGCATTTGAAATATATAAGGAAAGTACTGAATCACACACCTGACAGACTGACGCAGTTTTTGGCCGATGTGGTAATAAATAAAAGCATATTATGGCACAAGCAGCTGTCAGAGTTAGGTAGGCTGTACGGTGTAGGAGTGAGTAGGAAGGAAATGAAGTCCTCTAATGCCACTGACCTGATTAAAAAATGGAGGCGAGCAAAAGGAAAGACCTGGTAACCCGTGTGAGAAACAGCTTACTGTACGCAAGACTGGATTTTGACTTAGGGCGAAACTACATGGAGTGCTCAAATATGACAGCCTATGAGGTGTCTCTGGTCTTGAGGGCGAGGGGTGAATTGCTTCAACTGAACTGCCAACCGTGGAGACAGGACCACGCCATCATTTGCTCCTTATGTAACCTCAACGTCCCGGAGGACACTCTCCACTTCATAGGAGTGTGCCCCGTTCTGAGAGAATTCCGCCAAAGGTACTTTGGGAAACTGAAGCTGGATGTAGAAGAAGTCATTGCAATCCTTAACGGAAGGGATAACTGGAGGAAGCTTGTGGTGTACCTCATTAACGCCCTGCGGTACCGAAAATACCTGGTTGACCACTTCAATTTTTAAAATCAAAGGTCATTCTCAAGATACAAAAATAGGGATATAAATCTATAAAGCAACTCGACAGACAGCTAAGGCCATTGTCAATTTAGCTTTTTCGAAATGTAAAGTTAATGTAAATACTTTTGTGTAAATAAAGCTTTTATTCATTAATTTTCAGACAAGATAGAGGGACGATCTCTACTATATTCAAGAGTAGTGTTATTGTTCGCTTTTACATAGTTTGAAGCCGTTGAGCTGCATAGAGAGAAAAACCTCTTTCCATTTTTTTCTTTTTTTAAACAAGGGTTTGTAACAGCAAGGTCATATCAACCCTCAGGGTGCTGGTGTTTTTGAAAAAAAAGCCCGTTTGTAAGTATGTCGGGTTCGAATGCAGGGCCGCTGGATTCGAACCCGGGACCTTCCCCTTATAGTGATGAGCGCCGTGTCAGTGCCTAAACTGTTGCGGCCACCGCCGCCCCTTTCCATTTTTTTTGTGATATGAAGGAGAAGCGTTCCATATTATTGGTTCAGCTTGGTACAGATTGAGGAATGCCAAGACTGTTATGCTGGACCTATCCATTCCTAACAGATAGAAACAATGTTATGATGTTCTTTCATTCATACTAGTTAGGAATCGTTTATTATTGAAAAATAAATAGCAATGTTGATTGATGATTACAGTTGATATCTGTACTAAACGAATATTTGTGCACTTTGAAGCTGACAAGGAAACTGACAATTAGCCGAGAAAGGCGAGCACTGAATATTTTTGCTTGGTGAATAACCGAGCACCCATTCCCACTAGTCGGCATTCGGCAATTCCTCATGTTTGCAGCCACATTAATAAAAATTAATGTAATATTTGTTTATTTAGGATAAATCTCACACTATAAGGGCACAAGCGGTAATGGCGTTACAACGACTTCAAGATCCTTATGATAATGATTGTGCCATTGTTAAAGGTGTGATTTTCCATCTAATCCTGGTGAACCTTGTTTTAAATTTGTTAAATATACCTTAACTTTTTTTATATTTGTCAGCTTTTGTATTCCACATGGTGTCTGACCCAAGTGCTATTGTCCGTGAAAAGGTGATATCGCACATTGCCGTGACTTCGCAGACACTTCCTCACATCATAGAAAAGATCAAAGATGTTCAGGTTCAAGTGAAAAAAGCCGCTTATAAAACCCTATCCAGGCTTAAAATACAGAGGTTTACCATAAACCAACGACAGAGCATCCTTACAACGGGACTAAAAAACCGAAAAGGTAAAAACATATCAATTGCTATTTAAAATATATATATATACTTCTAATTTTTCAGAAATTGTCAGGGAATTCGTAATTGAGCAATTAATCATGACATGGTTCAAGCAGTGTAACTGTGATGTGCTCCAACTCTTTAAGGCTCTTGATGTCGAGACAATGAATGAAGACATATTGAAAGCCATAGCATTTGAGCTATTCAAGTAAATCCGTTCAATCCCATAAAAAAATTACAAATGTTTCTCAATGTTTGAAATCGTAGGAAACAGCCCACATCGACTCTCAAAGAGTTGATAAAAGGAATGCAGAATTTGGAAAAATTGATAACTTTCAAGAATTTAACACCAGAAGTAGCCGCCCTGTGGTACTATGCCGTTCAGTATTTCTCGTCCACTGAGATCCACGGAAACGATATTGATGAGGATAGTATATTTCAGATTTTACCAGAGCTGACAGCATACACGGACTATATAAAAGAGTAATGTGAAAATGTGAATGTATTTTTTTTTTTAAAATCTAATATGTTTTGCTTTAGATTTTTAGAAAATCTTAAACTTGGAAAAATTGAGAATAAATATATTATGAAGCTCTTATTAAAAATGGCTTCATCTTATTCTTTATCTGATGAAATGGGAAGGTATGCTGTTCCATATTTAACCTTTTGTTATTAAAATGAAGTATCAGGATCTTATATTTTCTTGAAATTAAAATAAAGCGTGATTGACATGGTTGTTGCATTGTTTAGAATGAGATTGAAGCAGTTATGTATAAACCTTCTAACTTATGAAAATGAACTTAGTTTCATTCCAATATTGGTCTCGCACATACAAAAGACCATGCCTATTGTAAAAGAACGGCTCACTGTCATGGCTGAAATAATTTCAGATATTAGGGAACCACTTTTTGATAAGACCATGGTAAATAAATGAAACAGATTTGAATAAAGGCAAAAAAAAAATTACAATTAAAAATTTCCCAGGTTGAATTGAATGAAAGCGCAACAATAGAACAACAAATGGCCAACTTGCAATGTGGAACACAGATGCTTGAATGTGTAAGCAGATATATTTTTATTTTTCACGTTCTGTTTTGCCAATAAGAAATTTTTTAGGAAAGGGAGCTCAGAAAAGACCCCGAAACACTGATTAGGTGCCTTACAATAATCCTCGAGTTCATAAAAGCTCCTGATGTGCAGAAACTCGATCCGACATTGCTGACATTAAAGGATCATTTCATCGTGGGTTGTCTATCGGTAAGCCCAGCTAAGGTGTAATAAAGTAGCAAAAGTATAAGTGCTGGACTTTTCCAGGGTGATCACAACAGCCATGTCTTGAATCTGGCCCAGCAGGTTATGGCAATCATGTGCATCTGGAATTCAGAGCTTGCGAATCAGCAATTCCTATACTTCTTTATACAAGTGAGTGGTATAGAAAGTTCAATATGTTGAATGTGGGAGCCTGAAAGTATGTCAGCCCTCTAGGATCTTTTTTTAACATATATTGGGTTAGTGCAAAATCAAAGACGGGAACACACCCAACGCAACGCGACGTGATCCGAAGCCACCCGACACAAATCCTATGTCCAATTTCCCATGAGATTGTATTACTCCTGTGCACATCTGCTCGATGCCGTCGAATGCTACCCTACTCTAGACTCTGCGATCCCCATTGTCGAGATTTTCGTAGGATAGCATCAAATACAGTCAAAGATAAAAGAACTGGACACTCATATTTTTATTCAAACTACATGTATTGTCGTTATATTAATTACAACATGCTTATTTTAATGTAAACCAATTTAAAATAGATCAAAATTTCATAAGTTTTTATAAAAATTCTTTAATTGTAATGTATTAATTGGTCAAGCGGACCACGAAATTAGTGAATTTAATTTTAATGGTTTGACAGACAATTTTTAAAAACACCGGAATACCATTTATTGATAAAATAAATTTCAGTAACAATTTATTACATGGTTTGGCTCATAAAATTTAACTAACAATTGATTACATGATTTGGCTCATAAAATTACACCATTTTCATCAAGTAGTGTCAGAAGCAGTCACTCATATTTTTTTGTAGTTTATTTCAAACTATGTATTTGTAATTTTGTTGTTATATTAATTACAACATGCATATTTTAATGTAAACCAAATTAAACAAGATCAAAAATTTATGACTTCTTATGATGGTTTTTTTCAGAAATTTATCAAAACACCAGAATATCTTTATTTAAAACATTTTTCTTTCCAAAACGTAGATTGGGGATGAGGCCAGGAAGACAGGAACGTTTATTTTCTTCGATCTTTCGGCAAAATATATCGCCTTCATCAGGACTTAGAAAAAATCGTTTTACTGTATGAACAGGTACATGTGTGGATAACATGTGTGGAGAGCCGGTAGAACCCACGTTCTATATTATAAGTGGTTTATATTTGAAGGTGGGTTCTACCAGCTCTCCATTATCCACACATGTACCTGTTCATACAGTAAAACTATTTTTTCAAAGTCCTGATGAAGGCGACATATTTTGCCGAAAGCTCAACAAGAAAATAAATGTTGATTCTGCCTTCCTGGCCTCATCCCCAATCTACCTTTTGGGGAAAAAAATGTTTAAACTGAGAAGGCTGATCAATCACCAAAGCAAATATTTATTTAAAACAAATTTAACATAATGATATTTAAGCCTTTTCCCAAATTGTTAACTGTTGAATGTGCTAAAGTGCTAAAGTTTGAATGAGAGTTGTGCGTGCAAGATTTCTTTCTTTTTTCAGGAATTTTTTAGGCTGCCAGAGCGGAAAAATGAAATAGAAGAAAATACAAATTGCGGGGTAATAAACTGCAATGCCCAAAATCGCAATTTAAATAAAAAGATAGCTCCCTCAAAAAAAAAGTTATTGTGTTTTTGTTTCTTATGTAGCATTAGTTCATATTTGAAGGGAAGAATAAAAAGATAACGATCATTCTGAGACTGTTGCTAGTCTGACTCCATTATTGTTATTATTATTGACCATACAAGCCTATGGGAAATGTTTAAATTATGGAACCAAAATTCGAAATTCTAATTAAAAAACGAATACATTTTACATGTTATTTAAAATGGGATTTTTGCATACATTTGGCCTTCCAAATTAAGCATTTTAAAAGGATAAATTAAAGACTTGTGTGGTGATTAGTGACCGTTAGTCGATGATTGTTCAGAAATCGTGAAGGTGGTAGACCGCATCTCACGATTTCTGATTAATAATAATTACAATTTAACTAACAATTTATTACATGATTTTGCTCTTAATAATGATTAACAACAAAAGAGGCATTGCGATTTGGATACTGATTTATAATGCACGACATGGCATGTCGAACAGATGTGCACATCCTACCAAAACGAGCTAGGTGTTGGGTTACGTCGTGTTGCGTTGTGTTAGGTTAGTGTGTTCCTCGCTTAATGCATGTTTTGAACATTGGTTTTATTTTTACTTGCTACATAAACAGCCAAATCCTCAAATATAATTTATGGATTATAATAAATTCACTCTCAACACGACATGCAAGAATGGCACAATTACACAGAAGACAAACACTTTGAGCCCTGAAGATGATCTCAATAAAGATTGAAATGTTGGCACGATAAAGAAAATGTTTTTCTGAAACCTACATCACACCAGACTGCATCTCACGATTTCTGAATAATTATAAATACTTTTAACTGTTATCTTTTATACAAAACATTTTAGTTTACATTGAATTTTTGTATGAGTGAGGAAATTAAATATGTCCAAACCAGATTTTTGTCAAATTTATTTATACGAATTTAAACTTGTGCAAAGTGCTGCCCGAACTGTGTTTAACATCATTGCAGTTTGGGGGGGGGGAAGCATAGCAAATGCACAGTGCAGCAATGGTTTTAAAGATTTTGTTTTGGAGACTTCTATCTCGAAGACAGGGAAGGTCGTGGTAGGTCTTCTATTGTGGACAATGACCAACTCAAAACGTCGGGGACCGCGTTAGCCGAGTGGTTAGCATGAGAGACTCACGCCGCGGTCGTGGGTTTGATTCCCACCGTCGCCTCTGGCCCTTTTTTCACGATAACCCCCCCCCCCCCAAATTTGAACACACATATAAGAATTCACATATAAGAAGAAGATTGGCTAATATGCATAGATCATAAGGCAAAAAAAAAAAAAAAAAGAAGTCGATTGAAGAAAATTTGCATAAGAAAACACGGCGGAAGAGCTTAGTGTTGGCCACTCAACTGTTGCTTGGCATCTGGAGCAAATTGGTAAAGTAAAGAAGCTCGACAAGGTACCGCAAGAACTAACTGAAGCCCAAAGAAATCAGCGCATTGAAATTTGCACGTCTCTTTTGTTGTGCCACCAAAATGATCCATTTCTCAATCAAATTATCACATGAGATGAAAAATGGAATCTGTACGATAACACAAGGCACACAGGCCAGTGGTTGGACAAGGATGAAGCGCCAAAACACTTCTTGAAACTAAATCTGCATCCAAAAAAAAGGTTATGGTGACTGTTTGGTGATGTACTGCTGGAGTTGTTCACTATAATTTCCTGAATTATGGTGAAACTGTAACTGCAGAGGAATATTGCCAAGAAATTGTCAAAATGCACGGGAAACTGCTACGTCTCTGTACAGCATTGGTAAACCGTAAGGGGCTGATTCTTCTTCATGATAATCTAGGTGACATGTAGCAATTCCAACCCTGAGGAAACTTAAGGACTTTGGATATGAAACCTTACCACATCCTCCATATCACCCGACGTCTGTCCTACAGATTTCCAATTTTCTAGGCAATATGATAAATTCTTGATAGATAAAATTTTTAGAAAACGTGATGCCGAAAATGACTTTCAAGACTTTAATGTGGGTCGAAATTAAGATTTTTATGTCAGTGGAATAAAAGTGCTTATTACATGTTGGCAAAGCTATGTAGGTTGAGATGGAAAATATTTCGAATAAATTTATAAAAATTAAAAATAGTTTTGACTGCCTTTGCAAAACCTGCTTATTTTTGCACCAGCCCAATACATGTAACTGTTATATTAAATATAAAGCATAGTTTTTTCTCCGTTCTATATTTTGTCTAAATTAGTATTCCTGGGTGGGTCCCACCTTAGGTGACGTTATTACAGATTAAGTTAAGAGAACACCAAATTGTTAAACTTTTGGATTTTTTTCTTTAGCGAAACCATGAAAATTACACAATCTTCTACATTTATCAGCTTAACCATAAATTCTGCATTCATATTTAATGTAAAAATAATCAAATCTTACCTTTAAAAATCAAAAAGCTGGGGCAAAAGAAATTTGAAATTAGCCAATTTTCTCAAGCGTTGGAAGTTGGTTTTCAAGCAAAAACTGTTTCACTGTGGAAATTCAAAAAGGTGAGGAAAAATATTAGCCAATAGGATGTGCTGTGTCCGAAAAATGGCCTGAGTCTCAGACTGATACTGGCAACCCTGTATGAGTTCAATTATCAAAATTTAATTAGTAATTTAGTGTATCTTATACACTAACATTATAGTTTTATAACTAGTTTATTAAAATTTAATATTTATATTCAAGGTTAATGATAACGATTTGTGCCTGTCAGCTTTGGATGCAATTTTTGACATACTTTTGGTACATGGCCTAAATCTTTATAATTTCGGAACGGATTCATACAAAGACCAACCATCAACAAGTAAAAAAAGAAATAAAATCTACATAAACTGTTTAATTGATTTCTTATGTTTTATTTTTAGTAAAGAAAAAGGAGTTCTCTCTAGCGGATTTCTCTCAGGATGCCACACTACCAACTAATTCTATGAAACAGCTCATAGGAATTTTTGTTTCACTGCTTGACACCTCTGTAAAAACTTATTTTTTTAAATAATTTTATTACAGTTTGATTGAGGTTTTTATTTAATTGTTAGGTACCAGAAGTTAGGGCAAAGGTATGTCTTGGCTTGGCCAAGCTCCTGCTTTCTGGACATATCAGTTCGCCGTTGGTTCTCGCCCACTTAACGCTCGCTTGGTTCAATCCCGAGACAGGTATTTTTTTATATCTTATACAGGCTGTCCCAGTTCCTTCTGACGAAACTCAGGGAATCGATTCTACTCTTTGTTTGGAGCAAAAAATGCCCAGGAGAAAATTTTCGGAAAGTTCTCTATTTTGAAGATATTCTCGTCAATTTAGGTTTTTTCAACTTTTCTCTACCTTACCACATAAAAACTCTTACAACTTCCAAAATGTTGAAACTACAACAAATCCAATTACACCATTTGAAAGAACACTAAATTTGCTGTAAGATACTTCTATTTGCAATAATCTGAATGATATAAAATGTTAGCCAATATCAGTTGGAACATGCCAAAATTACAAAATTTAAAATTTTGGTCATGATTGCACGTTCTACTGAGGTTACAAAAAATTACTTACAACTTATCAAATTTCACAAAAACTTTTTCATCTAATACGCTTTACATTGATATATCCAGGTTTTTAAATAACATTCTAGTAGAGTTGAAAAATAACAATTGAATGTTCGAAAATGTGAGCTAAGGTAAATTTGAAGGGGGTAGAAATAAATCAATTAGAACTCTCTTTGTAAAATAAAAATGACACTTGTTTGACCGGTTGAATGAAAAATGCTGGATGGCATCGAAGTTTAAACAATATCATCACAGAATGTAACAGGTAGGGTGTGTTACTGAAAGATATATTAATATAAATATTATTTTACAAAGCGATGGATATATCAATGTAAAGCATATTAGATGAAAAAGTTTTTGTGAAATTTGACAAGTTGTAGGCATTTTTTATAACCTCAGTAGAACGTGCAATCATGACCAAAATTTTAAATTTTGTAATTTTGGCATGTTCCAACTGATATTGGCTAACATTTTATATCATTCAGATTATTGCAAATAGAACTATCTTTCAGCAAATTTAGCGTTCTTTCAAATGGTGTAATTGGATTTGTTGTAGTCTCAACATTTTGGAAGTTGTAAGAGTTTTTATGTGGTAAGGTAGAGAAAAGTTGAAAAAACCTAAATTGACGAATATCTTCCAAATAGAGAACTTTCCGAAAATTTTCTCCTGGGCATTTTTTGCTCCAAACAAAGAGTAGAATCGATTCCCTGAGTTTCGTCAGAAGGAACTGGGACAGTCTGTATATAAATGCTAAGCTCAGTATTATAGATTTTATCTGGTTTTAGAACAAGACCCAGAAGTGAGGCAGGGCCTTGGCATGTTTTTCAGCCTATTTTCAACCAAAAGACTTAACTCTGGGCAAATTGTTATCGACTCGTTTATTCCGACACTAAGGGCGATCAACGAAGCAGACGACACACAGCCAATTGCAGAAATCGATCAGGTCTCTGTATCAAAACTTCTGATAAGCCTCGTTCGTTCTGACCTAGTTTCAAACTGTTCAAATTTTGAAGAGGTGAATTTCTTCTTTCTTAGAAATTTTAGAAATTTATCAAATACCTTGCTTTTCAAACTGTTTGCATAATTTCAGCTGGGAAGTTACCATTATCGGCTTGCTGTGGTTATATGTGATGAGCTTAATTCTGGTGATGTAAGCATTTGGGTGCTCGTCAAAGCACTGTCTTATCTCGATTTAGATCTTTCAGATGGTCACTTTGCTCCAACTCTGTTATCTAAGTTGAAAACAGTACTAAAGGTATGTTTCTTAAGAAATAAAAGAAACATAGAATATATAAATATAAAATATACAATAATAATTGATATTTCTTAATGTTTAGCAAATGAAGAAACTTACCGATAAACGAATTTACAGAATGCTAGAAACGTTTAAATCAAAGGTCGAAGAGCTTAATGCCAACTATAAAAAAGATAACAATAAAGAAAAAATACAAGACGCTGTAATTGTCTAATGTTTTGAAACTTTTAAAATCATGATTGTTTAATGAGGGTAATTTATAGTCAAGTAGTGAAAACACGGAAGAGGAAATTGCAAACAAAAAACCGCGAAAAGGGAAAACCCAACCCAAAATAATTCCTGAATCGTCAGAATTGGAGAGAGGAAGTAAACCAAGTGAGGCAACCTTTGAAATAGAATCTATAGAAAGTGGTGAAGACATACAGGATTCCATAATACGGAAAAGGTATTATCAACATTATTTCAACGTTTACAGATCTCGTGAAAAATTGTGCGAATGTCATATAATTTTTTTTGCATGCCTTCATAAAAATCAATAAATTAATTAATCCAACTAATTTAACTAACTTATTTCTGAATCTTGTTTTAAGACAATTGGTAATAGAAACAGCAAATTCTGATAGTGACAAGGAAGAAAATTGTGTAATCGAAGAGACACTTTCACCTGCTCAGTTAGTATATTTAATTTTTTCAACTGATATTAAAAATTTTATTTGTACATAATTTTTTTCAGAGTGATTAGCGAGACAGACCAAGAAGATGAGGATGATAACCACGAAGAAAAGAAGTCTCCTAAAAAGAAGAAGACTAAGAAGTCAGTATAGTGGGGAGGAATGCAATCACTAATTGGTCAAAAAAAAAAAAAATCGGCATAAAATAGTCAATTTTCTTCATTTAGTACAACAGAAATAGGATTTTATTCATATTTTATTTAACTTTTATTCCATTTTAGGTGCCATTCGATTTTCTGTAAAGGTTTTGGAGAAGTGTTTCTAATTATTTTAGCTTTTACAATTATTTACAATACAAAAATACAAGGAAACAAAAGAGTCACAAGATTAAAACTTAATTTTCTTTTTAAATTTTTTCAGGGATGATCACAGGTCGAGAGTTGACACTGCAGTCTCTGATTTAAGGTTTGTGTATTTTTAAAATATCCACAATTGTACTTTTCGCTAGTTTTTTTTGCAACTCATTTTTTTTTAATTTATAATTTTATGCTTGTTTATTACTATGCTATTCTTACTAAAAATACTCCTTTTAAACAAATTATTTGTTACATAAATGTTTATATCTATTTTGCTGGGCTGTAAGATGTTATTAAAAACTGTTGCAATATTGCTTTTTTTGTAGTTTAATTTGTACCTTTCCCTTTTTAACAACATTATCTTCTTATTTACCATCTTATTCTGGTCGTGATGCATGAATTTGGAACAAGTCTAATTGGGATTTTTGGAATGTGATTGATGGATGAGAATGCTTGACATTTTTAACAGCACTGCTTATTTTTTATTGGGCTTTTTTTTAATGCATTATTGAAATAATCGGGCTAGGTATTAATTTAAACTAGATTGTTTTGCATTCTGGTTTGCATTTAAGTTAATTGAATAATTAACAGTGGCATTTAACATATATAAACTTTTAGTCCAAGTTTGGAAAGAAAAAAGAAAGTAAAAGTGAAAGAAGTGGAAAATAAAAAGATGTGAGTATTTGGCGAAAAGTTTGTTTAATATTAAATTTAAAAAATTTCAATTTTTAGGTCGACTCCACCGATCAAAGCGAGATTGAGATCTAGAACCAACCCGGATAAAGATGTAAAGTGATTTAAAATTCATTTTACTTCTATAAAATTGTTATTTTGTTTTAACAATATAAACACGATGAGGAACAACGTCAGTTTTGTTAATGTATATATTTTATATGTACATAATATTTTTATATAAATTAATATTAAAATATATTTTTTGTAAATAATAATTAATTTTTATTATTTGTATTGTAGGTTGTAGGACATATACTGTATGCAAATCATAGGAAATCCACTGGAAAAACAAATGTAATTATCACATGAGGATTCATGTCATGAGTTTGAAAACTTTCTGTTAATAAATAAAAATTCCATGATGCAATATATGTTCAACAATCTACAATACGAATAATAAGACTATGAAAATATTTTATAAATTATTAAATAAAATTAAAATTTTATATACAAATTTAAGATGCATTTTTTTAAAATTACTAAAGAACATACACTATTTTATTTGAAAAACTTGTTTAATTATGTGTAACTTTTAGTAGTATGTACAATTACTAAATAAAAACAAACCAAATTTTGTTTTTAATTTGTTCTTTATTTCCTTCTATAAAAAATAATTCGCATCATGAATCTAAGCACAAATAATCTCTATCACTAAATAGTTTCTTTAGTTTTTGTTTATTTTCAATTTTTACTTTTTAATTTGTAACGTATAAATTCAACCAATGTGATCAAAAACAGGAAGGAGTAATTTAAAAGATATTTGATCTAAATATTAGACTTGAAAGACAAGCATAGGTTTGGCAATGCTCACACAAGTCGGTCTAGGTGAACACGGAGCTGAATGACAAACGCGGTACGTCTGAAATGAGAACTGAGCGAGTGACTTATGAAAAGGGTGAAAACACTCCAGTTTTGGCATGCCAACTAGATAACATAACTGTTGTCTATGAGTCACATGCCCAGCGGAGATGGAATTGGGAGAAATTAAGAACTAATGGAAGAGCATTTAGGATAGGGATAAAAGAGGCGGCCACAAGGCCTGCACCTTGACCTGTGTTGATCCATTATGCTCCCCTTTTTTTCTATAAATCACTGGCTAGCTTGAGGTTGCTAATCAACCTCCATAGCTTTGCCAGCGGCTCCTTAGTGTAAGATCTTGCGTGCGGCTTATCATCTTTTGCAAGAACCTGCACATACATAGATCTTCACAAAAAACAAAATGTATTCTGAGGACTCCTCTTCTTCCTGGCAATATTTGTACACTGTTTCTTCTGTCTGTACTCCTATCCGGTACATGTGCTTTCTTAGGTAGCTGTGCCCTGTCAGGAGTCCAACCAGAATCCTGGTTCGGATGCAATTGCTTAACATGGAAAAGAGTAATATCCAAGAATTTTTTTCCAGAGAAGTTTTAGTATATTACAGAGGTAAATTTATAAATAATACAGACTAGATAATTTTCTTAGAAAGTTTTTACATTTTATCTACAAAATTAAGTATAATTTTTAAATAGGAATAAAGGTGAGCTTGAAGATTTTAAAGGGATTTTTCTTTACTGAACTTCATAATAAATTAAACCTCTCTCCCATTTTATGTATTCGGATTTATTTGAATTACAGTTTAGATTTTATTTAGAAAATATTCTCCACTTCAAAAATATTGAAAAATATTATAATTGTTGTTTAGAAAGTCAGAAAGTCGATCGCAAAAGCATTGGACATTGTCGGAAGTGGAAACCGCTTTGTAGTCTCCTTTCCAGTCGTAAGTTCCACCGTGGGTATAGGAATTTTGTAGTCATGCCTCCGAAGCCCAAACCGGCGGAAAAATCAGGTATTTCCAACCTTTCTTTAACGCCCGTAAAACCAAATTTTGCCGTTTTACCTCAAAAATCGGTTTATTTGGCCGGTTTTTATGACGTTCGAGCCGTATTTTCATTGAAAGTCTGTCGTCTAACCTCAATCCGGATGGCCACGCGGTTCTACGCTAGTCAACACAACGTTCCAACTTTTTTTTTTGGTCATCTATTTCCATTTTACCATTATTTAACCACAAATCGAACATTTAAAAATTGTGTTTCTTGCGTTTTTGATCTCTAAAAATATATTTGAGACTTGTTTTTCAGCCTCAAATCGCGTCGAACATACTGCGTGCACTAAGTGGATAGTGCATCGGATTGGTACAAAACTTTTATCTTGCTAATTTAACTTTCTAAATTGCCTTTAAGAATAGTCGACGTAATTATTTCCAACATTTATTAAACAATATTTTTATTTTATTTTTTCCTGTTTGGTTTAAATTCTACTTCATTTCTGTAAACAATGCGCACTAAGATTTGCAAGTTTTTCCTTTTAATCTTTAAGAGGAGCCCCACTGAACGGTCAAATAAATTAATTTTTTGTTTTTAATCTCACAAAAATCTAAATCTATTCCTGGGCGTTTTAACCCCAGAAGCACATATTTCTGACAACCAGGACATTTTTAAACATTTTTGGTATGTATCCGTGCTAGGAATCCTTATGGTTATGTATTATGGTTAATAAGTACCATTATTTGTAATTTTATTGTAACAGCAAACAAATAAAATCACAAAAAAGTAAAATCATTTCCAAAACACAGTAAACATCCAGGATCCCGCTCGTGATAGTAACTTTCTCACCTCAACCACTTTAGATTTAACTCAATAGAGACTTTAGATTTAAAAAAGTATAATTTATTAAAATAATTAAGGTCCACCAAGACTACTAAATATCTATATGGATTAATATAATAATGATATAAGTACTTACTTCTCTACGAATCCTGATTACACGATATTTGAAAATATGTCAAAAAGATGGAAAATTCGATTAGTTGTAGGTTGAGATGAGGAATTGGTGTTCGAGTGGTTCAAAGTCACAATAGTTCAAGTAGTTGAGCGGCAGTGTATTGAGCCGAAGGTCATAGGTTCGAATCCTGCTTGTGATACTAGCTTTTCATCTCAACTAAGACCTTAGATTAAAATTAATGTAATTACAGTACAACGAACTCCAGGTGACCATAAAATTTTGTACGTTATAAGCGGCATTCACTATAAGCAATGTATCAATTCTAGTGAACAGTTCTTTATATCTGAATATTCCAACCAATTGATAAACTTGTATGTTTAAAGCAGAGCAGTTTTATATTATTTAAATTTTATATTAGGTAAATAATTATATAATTGATCCATGTTTATGAGAAAGTACAAAATCCATACTAACATGCTGAAGTAATTTATTTACATAAATGTTTTTAAAACATTAATACATTATTCGGAGATCATGATATGCGGTCTGGTGTGATCTCCGAATAATCATGATTAACGGTTACTATTCACCTCACCACACATTAATACATATATGCACATATGTATGTACAAATGTGAATAGAGTTATTAGACTACACTATCACTGTAGTATGTAATCCGTTAACTTTTTTTAGACTGATTGAGATATTTTGGAGCCCATTTCATTTGTGAGACTGCACGCATAATTTCCTGATTCGGTCCGAGAAATTATTGCCAATTTTTTCTCAAAGAAGAGACTAACATCGTGGTTTTTTATTTTTTATTAGAGATTTTTTATAGACATTTCCAGTTAAAAAAAGGGGAAATAATCTTACCTAGAATATTTAGACAGCTGGGGTTACTTTTGGGTGCTGTCCGCTATAACTGATAGTTCATTATATCACTGTTTTTTCATTATGACATTTCATGAGACGGGAGATTTTGTACGTTATAACCGGTCGTTCCTTATAACTGGTGTCATTATAAACAATTTCTACTGTAATTGAAATAATTATTATGGTCAATTATGACTACTAAATATCTATATAGATAAATATAATAATTAAAGGACTACTTACTTCCCTATCAGCTCCCAGTGGCCACTTCATAAGTTGCCTAGGATTGAATCCTTATTACATGCTATTTGAAAATATGTGTTGACATTGATGTCTGAAAGGATTGAAGTCACGATGGCTCAATTTGTTAGAGCAGTGGCATATTGAGCCAGAGGGTTGTGGGTGCGAATCCTTGTGACACTAATTTTTTCATCTCAACTCAAGATAAACTATAATTAAATACATAAAAGGCAACCCTTCAAAGTGATGTGCTCCCTTTAAATGTATTGAAAACTTGGCAATTATTTAACATTTTTAGAAAAGGATTGCTGAATGACTTACATTTACATGTTTAAGTCCCTTATGTTCTACCATGCTTAATTTACATTGAAAACCACAAAGTATCAAATAAAGTTTGTCACATTTTCCGTACAGGAAATCATGTACCTAAACAAATAAGCTATCTGCTTACAATGCAAAACTTAATATTAAATAATATCATGATTTAAGATAAAGAAAGCCACTATGATTTAAAGAAAGAAAAGATGGATGAGGTCAAAAGAGAAGAAATTTTTTGTTTAGTTTTTTCTTTCTTGCCAATCTTTCGAAAGATATTCTTTCATTATCTGGGCTCAGAAATTATTAATCAAATTGTCATTACTATTACTATTTAATCATTTATAAAAACTACATCAAACAATTTTTTTTAAGTAAAGAAAAAGAAAAATACCCTTAAAGAAACGGAGTAACTATTTTAACTATTACAAACAAACGATACAAAATATAATCAGAATAGAAAACAAAAATAAAATCAATTATATTGGGTTGTCCGGAAAATAATGCAGGATTTTAAGTTTTCATTAAAAAAAATCTATATAAAATATTCTGTTTACGTTTACAGGATTACTCATTTGTATGAATGTCAACACTTATTAATCCTCTTCCAAATGATATTGTTTGTTTACCTCTGTAGCATTCCGCTACTTGGAAATAATTCAGTCATCCTTATAATGTCAAAGCGAGAATTTCGTACGATTTTCTTTTACGAGTTTAAACTCGGCCGAAGCGGAGCCCAAACGGCTAGAAACATTAACCAAGTCTGGGGCGAGGGTTGTGTTAATGAGTGCACTGTGCAAAGGTGGTTTAAAAAATTTCGGGAGGGAGATTTCAGCCTTGAAGATGAAGAAGGTCGTGGAAGGCCTTCCTCTCTTAATGATGATGTTCTGCGATCAGTGGTGGAAGAAAACCCCAAAACAACTGTTCGAGAACTTGCAGAGCAACTCAAAGTCAGTAAAACGACCGTCGCTGACCACCTCAAGGCGATTGGAAAAGTGAAAAAACTCGAAAATTGGGTTCCACACTCATTAAACGATCGCCAAAAAAATCAGCGCTTTGATGTTTGTGCATCACTTCTTTGTCGAAACAAAAATGACCCATTTCTGGCCAGAATTGTTACATGTGACGAAAAGTGGATTCTCTACGATAACACTAGACGTTCTGGACAGTGGCTCGACAAAGGAGAAGCTCCAATACATTTTCCAAAGCCCCCAACTCATCAAAAAAAGGTAATGGTTACGGTATGGTGGGCTTCATTTGGTTTAATACACTACAGCTTCTTAAATCCTGGCGAAACCATCAATGCTGAATCATACTGTAACCAAATTAATACCATGCATCAGAAATTGGCAGTAATGAAGCCCTCTTTGGTCAATCGGAAAGGGCCCATTTTGTTGCATGACAACGCTCGACCACATGTGTCACGTGTAACGTCACAAAAATTATTGGAGCTTGGCTATGAAACTTTGCCTCACCCACCCTACTCTCCGGACCTCTCGCCTACTGACTACCATTTTTTTAGACACCTGGACCACTACTTACAACACATAATATTCAAAAATCAAACGGAACTGGAAAATGCATTTATTGACTTTATCAATTCTAAAAATTCTGAATTCTACTCAGACGGAATTAATAAGTTACCAACACGTTGGGAGAAATGTATTGAGAGTATGGGAAATTATTTTGATTAAAGAACATTGCTTTAAAGTAACTAGTTTCTTTTTTTTTGTTTAATACCAAAATCCTGCATTATTTTCCGGACAACCCAATACTTTTGTATTGTTTGTTTGTAATAGTTAAAATAGTTATTCGTTTCTTTAAGGGTATTTTACTTTTATGCTTAAAAAAAGTTTGATGACGTTTTATAAATTATTCATTACTAATTGTAATGACAATATGATTCATCATTTCTGAGTCTTGATGAAGAAATAATATCTTTCAAAAGCTTTGCAAGAAAGAAAAAACTAACATTCATCAAACTCATTTTCATTCCATAAAAAGAAAATTGAGTTAAATGAGTTTGTTGGTTGCCTAGTTTCTGAAAAGAAACCCAAAAATATAAAAGTTAAGATTGGAAAAGGAGTTCAAAATGAAAAAATAAAACGTTTTTTCTTCTTTTTTGACCTTATCTGGATCCTCTCTTCTTTATTTAATGCAAAACTTGCTATAGAATTGAGAAAATTGATGAATTGAGAAATTAATAATCTATGAGGTTTCTCACTCTCTCTCTCTCTCTCTCTCTCTCTCTCTCTCTCTCTCTCTCTCTCTCTCTCTCTCTCTCTCTCTCTCTCTCTCTCTCTCTCTCTCTCTCTCTCTTTCTCTTTCTCTTTCTCTTTCTCTTTCTCTTTCTTTGTGCTCCTGCCATTTGATGATGCAGTTTTCACCCTTAAATCTTAATAGCTTTTACCTGCTATTTTTATCAACACATTAAATGTTATGAACAAAACACTTGTCTCCTCATTGGTCATCCTTTTTTTTATTCCAGGTAGTTTTAAAATTTTTAATTATTTTGTTTAATCCTTTTTCATTCTTAAACAATGTGGTTTGCAAAAGCAAAACATTTCTGGCAAACAAACAGCCAACTCAGTCGAATTTCAACCCTTCTGAATAGTAAATGAAATAAAAATTATATT